ACAAACTTCATCATTATTTTAAAATGCCAACCCAACTCGCTTTATCTACTTGTCTATATAGCAAATTTTATACAAACTTTACATTCCAACACTACCAAATTCCTTATACTACACCACCTAGACAAACTAGCTCTACAGCAATAGATATCTCCCCAAATACAATTATCTCTAAAAAATATTTTAATAAAATTACAGAAATATTACCCAAATCACCTCTCTCTAAACAACAAGAATTTCAATTAACTTCTCAAATCACACCCTCTACTCTTCATATAGACCCTAAACCTACCACAATTGATCCTCATTCTCAACACTATCATATATACAGAATCTGCAAAATTAAAAACATCCCTTGTGTTTTTATAAAAGCAAACCATATACCCGACTACTTCAAATCTATGTTTTTCAAAGGCCTTATGATCTACCGTAACTGTGTTCACAACCTTCAATATGCCAAACTTAAACCTATCTCTCTTACTAAACCTCTTACACATGAACAACAATCCTTTTTTCACTTTTACTACTTCAAAATCAATCTCCTTCAAAAACTTGTCAATAGAGGCAAAAAAATTAAACAAAACCTATAAAAATCATCTAAACAAAACCAACAACAAGCCAACAAACCCGCTAGAGACACATCTTAGAACCTTGACTGGTTTGCCAACTACCCAATTACTCAAGAAATAGAACAAAATACTAAATTAAACACAACACTTGCCCAAAAACTCTTCAACTTTGCCAAAACCTATCTTCACAAATTTACTCCAGGTCAGCCAATCCCAACTACAAGAAAAGAACCAACCTCCAAACCTCCTTAAAAACAAAGCTTTAACTACTTACTTAAATCTATGACTATTGAAAAACCAGAATTTTTTACAGAGTTCCTCCAACAATCAAATCAATTGCTCTCTTCTGAACTTAATATTTCTCAATATGCATATATCTCAACTCTTAAAAATTTACTCACCAAATTTATCGAACTTCTTTTTACCAAGCTTAACTACGTTCATATCTTCAAATCACACTATGCAATTTCTCCATTTTTAATTGCTGATCGCAGCAAAGTAGCAATCAATTTTGCTTAACTATATCTCTTTCTTTATAACAAATACAAAACAATCCACTATCAAAAATTCATAAAAAAACTAGATATTTACCTACTCAGACTTTCTTTACAATACAACTTCGAATACAACAATACCAAAAAACCTCTCTTTAGCATCCACAACAATAATCAATTCACAGTTACTGTCACACTTAACATTCCTAAAACTAGATTTATGAATACTTTTCGTATTCCTTCACTTAAACCTTATACTAATAACTTTGACTCTTGGTTCGAAAACTTTTTTAAAGCATACAAAAAACAGTTCACCAAAATCAATAAAACCAAAGTTTACAACTACCTCAAATACTAGATAGCAACAACACTCACTAATGAATGCAAAAAATACTTACCTTCTAAATACGAAATTACAAATTCTTTCTCTCTCCAAGATCACTCTTTTTAAACTACTAAAGAAGCTCTTTATCATATTCATATCTGCAAAGATAAAAATTATACTATTTTACCACAAGATACTAAACATAACTTCTCTAATCTATCTACCTTCTTTTTCAACAAATTCTTCAAAACATTCCCAGCACCTCCTAAAGAAGAAACCCTAACAATTACCCAAATTGATCTAGATTTTTCTATATTTCATCCAAAAAACCAACATCTAGCAACTTTTAAAAAGGCCATTCCAATACAAACACTAAATACACTAGCTACCAAAGCAGACCAAAAATTTGCAAAAATTAACAATCTGGAAACAAACCCCAAACGAACTGCATACTACTTTTACTCCTACTTTAAAGCCTATCTCAATACTGCATCAATAAATGATGATATTTCAACTCTTAAACTTAAAGAAGCACTGAAAAAAACTATCTCATCTTCCATTAGCCCTCATACTCTTGCACGTATATTTCTTTATTATGATATCAAAATCTAGTCTAAATTTTCAATGCCTCAAATCCAACAAGAATATGAACTTAAACACTATATCGGGGCTGAAAAATTTATTATTAAACACTACAAGATCAACATCCCATCTATCTTAGATGACTCTCTTTTCCTCTTCTCAAACTCTGCAAACTCCTCAAACTCCTACAGTTTACTTTTTCAATAACTTCTTCTATAGACAACATTAATACAGCTACTACTTCTAAAATAACGATGTCCTCCACTAATAGTGGGTCATTTTTAGAAGAGAATGATATAAGTAGGCGGGTAGTAAAGCCTATTTACGTGGAAGAACCAATTAATGATGGTCAGACTCAATATTCAGAGCAGACTCTGGTCTTTTGCACAGCCATGAAAGCTGGGTATATGGTGAGCGACTCTATAGAAGAAACTCAAAAGGTCTTAGCCCCCAACCCATCAAATCTTGCTAAGACCCCCCCTCTCAAAGCACATTCTTTACAACATCCAAAAAAGTTACTATTCCATCTATTTTTATAAACACCTCTACACCCAAATTCAAACCTTCCAAAAACCATTCTCCTGAAGACTCAGATAATGACAATATATCTCTAACTACAAACACTATATTAGGCAAATCTACTAACCCTCCTCTTTCTAATCTACTTGATCTTTATAATTCTACAACATGCTATAACAAATTTTTATCTTACTACAAACTTTAACTTTTACCCTCACCACAAACACTGTCTTTCTTTATACATTTTATTAAATTAAACTACCCAATTTTTTTTTCTGAACATTATATCAAAATTTCTGCTTAAACAAAAACCAAATATAAACCTAAAAAAGCACATATATACTTACTATATGAAACTTTTCTTCTACCTAATCACTTACCAGGTTGTCTGAATTTGGAAGGGGTAAACAATGCCGATCTTTTGACAGGGTAAGCTGTTTTGCCCACTTTTTTTGAAAATTTTGTTGAAAGCACAAGTGGGTGATAGTAAATAGTATAGACCTAATACTTTTCTTTAAGAAAAGTATATATTTCTTCAAAAGTAGTAAAACAAGTAGATCCGAGCATACTGCTGCTCTCCTTTTTGGTAAATAATAAACTCTAAACTTGTTAGCAAGTAGCATATGAGAACTACTTCTAAATAACAAGTGCTGTCTCTATGGTGAGTGATAAGCTCTAAATCTATTAGCAGATAGCATATAAGAACTATCTCTAACTAATAGGTGCTAGTTTATAGTTTTTGTTAGTCTTATGTTCTTTTTCTCAAACATATTTTACTATTTTTTGTTGAAATTTTGGTTTTGAAAAGTTGGTCTGAGAGATTGTCAGAAAGAGTTGACTCTAAATAATGATTAATATCATCATCCTTCCCAAAGTTTTATATATAAACAATTGAAATTTGAAAAGGTAAAAACATTTTAAAATTTTGAAATTTGAAATTTTAAAAGTTTAATTTTAAAATGGCTTCTAACAATAATACTCTCAACACTTCTACTAACGACACTTTAACCACTTCTACCAACAAACTCATTCTAACAACACTCCTACCAACAATCCTCTTCTTAACAATCCTCCTACTAACAATCCTCCTTCTAACAATCCTCTTCCTAACACCACTCCTACTATTACAATACTCCTTATATACCTATTAATGCTACTAACAATAATCCTAACAACAATGATCCTTACAACAACACTTTTTACATCACATTATATAACAATATTCCACACAACTCTCCTTATTTCAATCCTTATAATATATCTTACAACACATCTTACAACATATCTTATAACACACTGTATATCTCTTATACCAACCCACCTTATAATAATGCACTTTCAAACTACAACTTACTTTTATATATAGCTGTTGGCATTAACCAAAACTAATACCAATTAAATACTCCTCATCATCAACTATTAAATAATAAATATGATAATAATAATGATTTTGACAATAGCATTTTTAACATACAAAGCATTTTTTTAAAAAATAAGTGATAAAGATAAAAAATCACAAAAATCTAACCATACCCTAGTTGTACACCAATCCTCCCAAACTAACAAATATAGATCTAAATATCAATTTAAATGTTGACCTAGCTAAACACCATCATGTTCTAAAATAGATCTTTATCACTACTATCACAACATCTGTAAAAAAGGGAAAGAAGGTCTAGATCATGATCTCAAGTGCTACCCAGATTAAAATCTCGAGTGCAATCTAGTTCTAGATTCTGAACATAATCTAAATCTAAATCCTGAGTACAATCTAGATCTCAATCCAAAAATCAATAATCACCCAATTAAAAACAACCATACAATTATAATAGTAAAGTATATAAGTTGTTTTTTTTAATATTCAGATCTCTAGATTGTCTTTTAGTTAGGTTATTATTTTTTTTTTGAAACTTTTTTTTTTACAATAATAAATATAAGAATATATCAATTATTAAAAAAAAGTCAACAAGCTGATATTTAAGCAAAATATGTAGCTTTATCTTTTAGTAAAGCAGAATGGCCAAAAACTTGATAAATTGAATAATGAACTTAAGTATTTAAGGAATAAACATGAAAAAGACCTTTTTCTAAAGATGTTGGATATAAGTACTTTATTTGCATAATATAGTATAGTATTTGGTCTTTTTTTAAGCTATTATAAAACTCTTATAAGATATATATATAGATGTTATTAAATGTCTTTTTCTACTGCATGTTTACCCCACTCAAAGTATATTAAAGAAAGCTCTCAAGGGCTACCTTAACAAAAACTTTTTTAAGTATATATCAAACTTTAGTGAAAAAGAGTTCACTAACAATTTTTATAGAAGTTGGTATAGTCAAGTATATAATATCTTAACTTAAATATATATATATTTGTATTTTATTAGTTTTAACTATTTAATTTTGGTTTGTTTTTTGCTAATTTAAAATCATTTTATTTGTTTTTTTTTACTTTAATCTACTAACTTTGATTTTTTATTTATTAGCTTTTACAAAAGATCAAAAACCATCATGGAGCTGTATTGCAAAATATACAATCTTCAATTTGAAAAGTATTTAGTTACAAAAAATTGTCACTTCTTAAAAGTACTGCTAGTGTAGCCAAAATAATTTGGTGGAAGGAAAGTTTGCAAGTTAACAAATACTATCATGCTCTTTTTGAGCAAAATAATAAAGAGATATTTTGGGTCTCAACTATCACAAGATCTGTCTTCAGTACAGTTGTCGTGTTAACTTTGACAAACTATCACTATGTATTTACATTGGCAGTATGTGACATCTTGTTAAACCCCTGATCCAAAAATGTTTTATACAAGAATAAGCTTATGAAGTGTTGCATAAATTAATACTTGGTAAGTATTTGTTGCATAGCATTTTATATCAATAAAAAAATTTATTAATATACATTTTATTCTAACAGGTAGATTTTGAAAATAGAAGTCTCAGTTATGGTTCAGCAAAAACAATCATGACCAATAAACTTGCAAGTCATTCCTAGAATGAACAATTGAGGCAATCCTTACTGTATCTGAACTTGAGCCTGTGCTTGCAACTGCTTTCTAAAGTTCTTCATTAATGATGCTTTTTCAAGATAAGATAGACAAATTATTTGAAATTAATCAATATTAGTTTTTTTTTTATATAATTTTTTTTTTTTAAATTTGTATTATTTTATATTGTAATAAATATATTATATTGCAATTTAATAAAATTGTTTTTTTGCTTAATAAATATATATAATCACTTTAAATCGAATTAGTAAATTTGTAAATAAAAATATAGTTTCTAATACAATATTGTATTTTAAACAATAGTTAACAACTTATATTATTACACTTAAAGTATATACTAATAAATACACTATATATTGATAAATATCATATTTAATTGTTAATGGCAAGTAGATAAGTATTGAATAAATACAATACTCAATATGAATCAAATACACTATATATTGATAATTATCTAAATATTGCTACCTATCAAATACACTATATATTGATATATATTCATATCGATAAATATTTGCAGAGATGATTAGTATCAATAAATATCTATCTGGTTAGTTATTGATATATATTGGCCTATTTTTTTTGCTGATGAAGCTTCCAGTTTTTAAAATTTTGATAGCAAAATATCCAAACCTTTACTCAAATACAAAGTAAAAACTTTGCAATAGTAAAAAAGAAGAATTACAAGAATTTTTAGCTTGCTATAATACATATAAACTTAAATAAAAGGTGTGGCGACTTAGTGAAGTGGTGGAGTTGTCGCACCCCCAAATGGCAGGTCTAGAGTTTGAATCCCATGTACGATGATTTTGAAAAAACTAGATTTGTATTGGTTAACGTTAAGATTATCGGTTGGATCCAGATATCTGTAATCTTGGTCACACTATCTCGAATAGGAGCTTTGGTGTAATAAATCCAGGAAACCGGAATTACTGAAAACCCGTTTGGCAAGTCCCGAGTTGGGAGTAGCAGCGATCTTTGACGGTGCTACAGGAAGACTAAATTTGGAACTAGAAACTGAGACCGGAGAACCGAGTGACCAGGTCCTTAAGAAGGGGAGACACACTAGCCGGGTCGCCAAACTGGAAGAAAAGGACATGTACTCTGGAAGCATGTACCAAGGGAAGGAAGACTGTAAAGCGGGCAGACTGACCCTTCTGGGTTGTTGGCTGGAATTAAGAGAGGGACCGGTAAGGAATCTGAAAAAGAAGGAAGTTGGAACGTGGGTACTGAGGTTGTTGTGAACCTTGCAAGGGCAGGAGTATGTAAGCGGGAACTAATTAGGAAGGTTGTGACTTGAGATACGAATCGGATTACGACAGTATTCGAAAAGATTACTTGAGATACAGACCCAGTAGTGGTAGCACAACATGTACTAGTTGGGGAAAAGTTACCGAACATGCAAGTGAGTGCATGTGTGGAACATGTACCACTTTGTTAGGTTTACTACAAGGATAAATGCCTGTATATAGCTAAAGTCTTAGGGTTCTTATTCGGTATTGCTAATCTCTTAAGAGTGTTAGGGTAAAGCGATGTTACAGAAATGGAGCCAGAGGATTTAAATAGGTATCCTTCATAGTTAGGTGCAGGTACGGCAGATAGTGTGGAATCTAGGGCAGACTACTTAAATAAGCAACCAAAAGTTGCATGTATGGCTAGTCGTACTCTTATTAGTTAATAATCAGAGAGCTTAAATAGGTAATCTCCTAGTTAGGTTGCAAGTATGGCAGCTAGCGTAGAACCTAGGTGGACTACTTAAATTAGGTACCAAAAGTACATGTGTAGCTAGTTGTATCCTCGTGAAAATTGATGTAATATCGTATTTATCTGAATAAAGCCAAGTGCCGGAGGCCTAAGTGGTCACCTTAATATTAAAAAAAAAAAATAAAATAAACCTAAATAAAAGCTAATTGAAGAAAGTATATTGAAAGTCTTGTATAAAGAAATCAACGCAGAACAAAATGAAGAAAAAATTACAGAAAAGCAAGTATGTAAAGTTCTATTTAAAAACATAGAACATATCTAATTAGAAGTCTGGTCAAGAAAAAGACAGAGAAAAAATTAGCTATATAGTGTAACTCAAAAGCAGAAGCAAAATACCTGCTTAATATTTTTTTTATAGCAGTATAAAATTACTTTTATGAAAATATTTGGAAGCTAAGATATAAAGTTGTTTTAGATTAGGAAAAGATATTAAAAATTTTAAAAAAAAAAGAAACACCAATTTAAAGAAAAGAAAAAAAAACCAAAAATATAGTTATAAACAAAAGAAAAAATATAAAGCTCTAATAAATACTCAACTAGCAGATTTGTCAAAAAGAATAAAAAAGCAGAAAAAGGTAAATAAATTGTAAAAGAATTGTATAGAAGGTTTTATAAATAATAGAGTTAAACTCATCTAGTTAGTATCTTAGACTATTTGATATAGCCTCTAGCTTCAAACTAGTATGACAGATCATATCTAAAAATTTTTTGAGTGATGTCAAATTTATAGATTAAGGAAAAATTTGTAATTTAATATAGCAAATAAACTTAATAAAGTTTTAATAAGACTGTCTAAAATTAATATATATATATATATATAAATAAAATTATATTATTCTAAAAAATAAATTTATTAGCTATAGTTTGCTTTATAAAATACTGAAAACAATTGTATATACATACCTTATCTAAGGTGCAAGAACTAATATATATATATATTAAAAAACTTCTCTATTGTAGTATTTGCTGCATGTGATTGTATTTTCAAGTTGGTAAGTATTATCTTATATATGTATATATATAAGTACCTAAAAGAGCTAGGTATATTTAATTATAAGTATACTTATAAAAATTTTTATATATGGGAAAGTCAATAGAAAAGGGACAAATTTTTTCTAAGTAAAAGTTTTCTTGACTTTAAGCTTAAATAACTTAACAATTATCTTATTAAATTTAATAAATTTTTTTTTTTATTTTAATTCTATATAATTTCAAGATTAAAATAAAAAAATTTTTAACAATTTTGATTAAATAGTTGTTGAAATATTTTAATTTAAAAATTAAAAAAAAATTACTAAAAATGATTTGTCCCTTTTCTATTGACTCACCCCATATATAAAAAAAAAGACAATTACTATTTGTATACTAGTATATACTATAGTGCACTGACCAAAGTATCCCTCTTTTTCTATATCCTCCCTTGCAAAGTACCTGGCACAAAACACAAAACCTCTATTAATTAATGTAGTTTTTTTTTTAATTTTTAGACTGCTTATTGTAAGTGCAGAATATTTATATGTTTGAAAATTTTTTTTCTTGCAACACTGGCCCACTGCTATATAATATACCCAGGTCTTTTGTAAGTTTTTTGTTGGGTATTTTGTATTAGACCCCAGGTCTTTTGGTCAGTGCACTATGGTATATATGAGGTATTGTTAAATATTGTTGTTTTTTAAAATTTTAATTATAAAACCATTTTTTGGCTTTTAACAAAAAAAAATTCCTAGCAAAATTTTGGTATAAACTAACTTTCACCCAATCCCAAACTTTACTCTTACTCTAGCTATAAGCAGAAGTTTAATTTTTTATTTGTAAAAATTTTAATTAATATACTACAATTTACAAAATAATATCTATATCTATATATATAATATACAATTGGTTATTTCTAAAAAAAAACCTCTAGGTGGCTGGATCTAAAAATTTCTCAAATGTTATATAAATTAAAAAAATTTTATTTGTATTATTTTATTATTTTTTAATAAATATAGCTTTAAATTCTGTTAACTTTAAAGTTTTTTTTTTTGTTTTTCTTTTTTTATATTTCTCTATTTTTTTTTATTTTTTTTTTAAATAATTTATTTTTTTTTTAGAATTTTTTATTTTTTTGCATATGTGATATATCGTATTTTATAAAATCTAGTATAATGTAAAATTAAAACAATAAAATTAATTTGTTATTTTAGAGTTAGAATAAGAGTTAGATTAGGGTTAGAGTAAAATATTTTAATAAAAAGGTTTTAACTTAAAATTTCAAGAAAATTTTTTTTTGTTAAAATACAAAAGATGGTTTTATAGATAAAATTTCTTGCTATAGCTAATTTTTAAAAAAAATTGTAATTGCTTTGATTTCATGTTATATTTGATTTTGCACTCTAATTAGTTGATCAGAAGTGATAATATATCACCATGGTGATAAATTATAAAATCCTTTTATTTATTATTATTTTTCTTTTTTATTATTTTTAGGGAATTGCTATTTCCACCATGGCAAATTGCTATTTTCACTATGATCTACATTGCATTCCGAATATCACCAATCATATAATTTGATCGCATGTGACACGTAACAAGCCTCTAATACTATGTATAACTTTGAAATCACTATATATATCTGAGATAGCCAGGTATCCCACCAGTTATAGGTTTCTTACATTCCACAACTCTGGTTTAGACCTGGGTAACAATAGAGGGGATCTATTATGAAGAGGGTATTTAATATGGTAGGTATAAAATGATCAGTTATACAGTGTAGGGATGCTAAGCAACTCGGTTTAGTTAGTTTTCGAGTCAGTTTGAATCGAGTCGTTTAAAGTCGGCTCTAAGTTGACTTCAGTAATATCATATGATATTTACTAAATTGAGAGCAATATGCATATCTACATCAATATATGCAGTTTATCGTTATCAGTTTTATTGTTACTGTCTTGATTTGTACAACTTCACATGATTAAAAACTCA